AAAAAATAAAAGAAACAATAGGACAGGGACGGTAGGCACGTTGATGTGCTTATGCACGCCCCCTACAGATCTCTTAGGAAAGGGATGAGGTCAATAGTAGACAGTCTAAGATTAAAGTTTTTGGGGTTTGAGGAAGAAAGAGTCAGGTAGAGTATTCCAGACATTGACCACTCTGTTGCTGAAGTCGTATTTACTGCAATCAAGTTTGGTGCGGTTCACCTTGACTTTGTATCTATTGTGTGCTCTTGTATTGTTATGGTTGAAGCTGAAGTATTCATTGACAGGTAGGACATTGCAATGTATGATTTTATATACTATACTTAGATCAGACCAAAGGCGGCATAGTTCTAGGTTTTCTAGGTCTAGAATCTCGAGTCTGGTGGCATAAGGTATTCTGCAACGAGTAGAGGAGTGGAGAACTCTTCTTGTGAAATATTTCTGGACTTTCTCAACTGTGCTAATATCAGATATGTAATGTGGGTTCCAGACTGATGAGCTGTGTTCGAGTATTGGTCTAGCAAATGTTTTGTATGCTATGGTTAGTAGTGTGATATTACCAGAGGAAAAAGTTACGTAGGATTAGGTTAACAACTCTTAATGCCTTTTTGGCTATGTAGTTACAGTGGGCTCTAGCGCTTAGATCATTAGAGATGAGTATTCCAAGGTCCTTTACAGAGCTTGGATCATCAACAAGGTCTTAACTATTCAGCTTGTATTTTATTTTCTGATTTTTTTTGCCAATATGTAAGACAGAACATTTATTTGTTGAGATTTGAAGTTGCCATTTGTTTGACCATTCTGATACATAGTCAAGGTCTTTTTGAAGGATAGCAGTATTGTCTGTGGTATTGAACAGCTTTACATCATCAGCGAAAAGAACGCAGTTGCTCTTAATATTTTCACAAATAACTCAAGACGGAGAACATATCCAACATACTTTCTTCCTCCTATTTTCCCCAAAGCAACAACCCTGTGAGATGAGTTGTGCAGAAAGAGAGGCACTGTCCCAAGGTCATCCAACTCGTTTTCATGGCTAAGGCAGGACTTACTGTTGGAATACATGTTGGAATGTATTTTGCATTGCAACAACTACAAGTATTCAGCCAGTAGATGGCAGTGTTTACAAGTTTGGATCTATGGTATATACTCTTATGTTCTTTTGCTCTAAAGTAGAATTTTTGTTTCCTCTTACAGTTAAACAGTTGAGCAGGAAAGCACATGGTGACTGTACTCTTTGTTTTTCTGTGGTGCTATATATAAACAGAATTTCTAACATGAACTCACAGTCTCTTGCTTTCTAGCTGAGAGTGTCTTAAGTACTAAACCAAACTGAGGATTTTCCATATTCATGGAGGATTAGTCTAGGAAGAGCTGTGAGTCATTATAGATGATACGATGAATGAACAGTAAGCAATCATGGAATGACTATCACAATGAATTAGTGGCTTGCAAAATCCTCTCAAGTAGAGAAGATTAAATTTTTCATTCTCCTTTTTGTTTAAACTTCAAAGGAATTTTAAAAGGCAAAATTGGACCCTTTTGGGCATTTCTGTCCCACACATGTGGGGCCTACCTCCCATCTTGATGGCTCCCCACAGGTCTTCTGCCCGCTTCCTACTCTGCTGGGCCTCCCATATGGGAGGGGTGAGGCAGGATCAGGAAGGGGAATCAACCGATCCACCCTGCGGCCTCCATATAGTAGAGAGAACTAATTTTAAATGTATATCCAGTTTTGAAATGCTGAGAGATATTCCAGCTGACGCTGTTTCTAATTTTTCTTATTAGAGGGTGGTGAGACCATATTATAACCTATTTGTGGGATCTCTGGAGAAAAGGCTTGATAGAATCGTAATAAAAATTGGATTGTGGCTCCAAATAAAATTGCAATTACTTCATTTTGTGTAAGTCACAACACTCAACCTTCGTTTTGCCATCTTATTGTTTTAACCAGTAAGCTATCAACTTTTTTTAAAAAAAGCACTTTATTTTAATGAACAGCATTTTGTTAACTAAGTTGATCACATCAAATAGCACGAGGTATTTTCTTTTTGGCCAAAAACAAAGAAGGGGAAAAGTTACAGACGTCATTTCTGGCGTGGGCTTTAAGCTGCTGGATTGCATCCTTTTGCAGCTGACGACCAGAAAACTGTTAACAGATGAAGCCACTCTCGTATCATCGCAAACATTAGGGTGTGTGCAAACTGACAAAACACTGAAATTAATTAGGCTTGAATTCTTTTATTTGGCGAAATGTGATCTCCTCTGGTCACACAAAAGGATGTGTGCATTTCCTTCTGACTAGCACAGGAAAAGTCAAATCTATCTGATCGACTGAAAAGCTTTTATCGCAATCTCTCGTGCTGAAAGAGTGAAATGGCCCCTTTGGCTGCAGCAAGTAACTATCATACGACTTGTTGAAATGCTTTAGACAATTTCAATTCTGCTAGTCCATCCCACGCTCAAGCAGGAGGACCTATTCCAGGCAAATGGCTGTCCAATCTCTTCTTAAAAAGCCTCCAGTGCTGGAGCATCCACAACTTCTGGAGGCAAGTGGTTCCACTGGTTAATTGTTCTTTTTTTTTATGTATACTGAGAGCATTTGCACCGAGACAAATTCCTTGTGTGTCCAATCACACTTAGCCAATAAAGAATTCTATTCTATTCTATTCTATTCTATTCTATTCTATTCTATTCTATTCTATTCATTCCATATTATATTCCGTATTCTATTCTATTCTATTCTATTCTATTCTATTCTATTCTATTCTA